TGTTACTGAATTTACATATGGGAGCCTATTTACTTACACTGTAAAAAATGATTTCACGAGTAGCGGGAAAGTAGTGAGGAATGAATGAACTCTAGATGGATAGATAGATAGAAAGTAAGCCTACATATAAGTCTATTTTAACTCCCAGCAAACAGAACTTGCCCCTAAGTTTCTGTTCCCATATGGTTTTTGAAAGGAACCAAATAAGAACGTTTGTAGGAACCAGAACATTACAGAACATTCGGAAAACCAAAATTTGTGATTTGTGTTCAATGGGGTTTACCAACCCTCCATTGTTACAGAATTTACATATGGGAGCCTATTTATTTACACTGTAAAAAATTACTGTGAATTTAACGGTAAAAGTCTGTAAAAATGCTACAGTAAAAATCTGTTAAATGGTTAACGGTAAATTCCCCTACTATATACGGTGAAAAACTGTATTGGACATTACATGTATTGGACATTAATTTTACGGTAGTATACCGTTTTTGGAAGAATTCCCTGCGTTACATTTCTAATTTAATGTCTTTTGTTGAAATAACTATGTTTCTTCTTAATTTTTTCTTATCAGTTTTCTATATTAGGGTTGTGTGTTACACCTAATGTTGGTAAATGAATGTTTATTGCATTATTTCAGTTTCATGTGTGTTACCGTGATGGTGTTTAGTGTCTGTGTGAATGACACGGTGCAGCTTCTATATATGTTAATATTTAAAAGCTGCTTGTGATGGGTTTTAGTTCATCATGTGACTTTCTCATCACTACCTGCATTTGGTGGTCATCAGTGTATTACAAAGGTGCAAAACAGATTTCAGTACTTCAATAGGTTGGTGTATTAACATTATATCAGTCAATGAAATTACAGTATTTAACTGTTAATTCGATAATAACCGATAATTTGTTTACTTTATATACATACAGTATCTCACAGAAGTATATATACATACAGTATCTCACAGAAGTGAGTACACCCCTCTGAAATATCAGCAGATAAAGTGGGATTTAGGGTAAAAACTGATGTAGGCTACTTGCAATATAGTCTAACACATCAAAAACCTATAGCAATAGCCATAGTACTGTAGACATTTGTAGTGAACTTTACTTTGAATATGTAGATAGTCATATATTAAAATAAAACATTGAGCACGCATACAGTACATACATTTACAGTATGCAATTAATCCTTACATAGGGTGGACTGCAGAGTCAAGTGTCATGGAGGTAGGAAGACACAATGAGAGAGACACCCTGATACAGATGCTGCCAGTTTCTTAATATCGTGGATCTAATTAACTATTAATTAACTCTTTGGATAGGAGGAACCTGTGCCTGTGTCACACACACACACACACACACACACACACACACACACACACAGAGAGAGAGAGAGAGAGAGAGAGAGAGAG